CCCCCCCCCCCATTCTTCATCTCGTTCTGTAGCCAAGACAGCAGTACCAACAGAAAGAGCTCGATTATATGTCTGAAATCAACAGTGACTCCAGATTTTGATTTGTATCTTATCGGAATCTGATCACTCTGCGCGTTGAAAGTTTCCAAACTGTAGTCACTGGAGAACAAAAGGCTCTGTGAATAGCTTTGTAGTACTCGCTCTCAACAGCAAAACAATCAGTCCGTGTTTGTGTTAGTGCGTTTAGATCTATGTCAGTGTCCCCCATGCCATCTGTGAATCCACAGTATTCGAGGGGTTCGTGCCTATGTAAACAGCAGCAGTAGTGTCATCATAATTCGTCAAGTTAAAAAAGTGTCTCGAACCTTTATACATGATGTATTTCGCCAAGTTTTAAAAAAGCGTCTTGAGCTAAATTATCGATGGCTTCGGCGCCTGAACTAAAGAGTGCACGCGGTACTTGTAAAAAACAAACAAACCAGAGAGGTGCAAAACTGAAAAGGACTTCGGGGCTCCTAACTCATTCTGCAGCCTTTCTACTGCTACTCCTTTGCTCCTTCTTACTGCTGTCTTTCAGCCACACCCATGATCTTATGGTAGAAAGGTTCTAGGCCTACATTTAGCCTTCTCGGCTCGGACAAGGGCGAACAATCTAGGAGGTCCCGTTTGCAAGTTGTGCACGTTAAAGATCCCTCGGTGGTCTAACATCGATAAGAGTAGGCTTCAGCCGCCACCCGGGCAAAGTTCAAAATTTCCTACCAACTGAAAATGTATTGTGTCCTGCGCGCTCATATGCCCTTATGCAGTTGCTAGGACCGTAAAACACTTCTTTTTTTTTAAGAGAAAAAAAAGATATAAACGCCAGCTCAGAATCGATACATCACGACAGTGCACCTGAGAAATCGTTTCAGGAAGTTGCATGGCAAAAATCACAAGATAATTTCCTGGACACTCTCTCTCTCTCTCTCTCTCTCTCTCTTCTCTCCCCCCCCCCTCTCTCTCTCTCTCCAAAACTCGAAGACAACAAACAACAATGGTAAGCCAGCCCTGCTCTGTGCAGCCAGCAGCAACAAGGTGCACAGCCAAGACAATGTCATGTTACTGGGGTCTCACTTACCGCCTGATCCGCATCGCTGTCCTCGCTCAGGTCAAGGTCCCGAAGCAGAACAGAGCTGAGGAAGAGAAGAACAAGTCGAAATCAGCAACAATGATTACGTTAATATTTCATCATCATCATCATCATCATCATCATCATCATCATCATCATCATCATCATCATCATCATCATCGTTGTTGTTGTTGTTGTTGTTGTTGTTGTTGTTTGGAAAGCAGAGTAGGAGGGGGAGTCTTGTTTGGATTTCAGACAAAATAACATAACAATTTTTTTAAACCATCAATCATCATCATTCATCACATCATCATGAAAGAAGTATAGGTTTAAAAATTACAGTAAAATTAATAGTTATTAAAAATCATTACTGAAAATAATATTATTGTCATTCTTGCTACAAGAACCCAAAAAAAATCAGCATCAACAAATGACGACTAACCACCC